GGGCCAGAAAGAGGGTGTAGACCTTCTGTATCTTGTGATGTCGTCCGCTTTGGTCATCCCCTGAGAGAGGGGTGCATAGATCTGTGCATTTATTCTTTCTTCTCCACCCCTTGTTATCTTGAGTATGTGGGCACGCAATGATTGGGCGCATTGTATACTTAGGATTCTCCCATCTCGATAAACTGACACATTCATTATTACAAACACCCTTGTTTAACCCTGTCAACATTTTTGTTCTGAAGTCTACCTCACCAGTTATTAATATTGCCACTAATTGTGCTTTTTATTATTATTTGCATGGGATAGCTCTGCAGACCTTTGAGGGGCCGCTTTGTTTTGAGGTAGTGTCTCATGCAGCGCAGGGGCCTAGAGTTCACTGTGGAGCTGCAGCCACCCTCCTGTCATCTCCTCACTGCTGGGATTACAGGTATGAACAATACCCCTGGCCGCCATCCTTCACGGTTCAACATATCAGCCAGCGTGGCACACACTTGTAATCCCAGCACTCAGAAGGCAGAGGCAGGCAGATCTCTGAGTTCAAGGCCAGCCTGGTCTGTAGTGAGTTCCAGGATAATCAGAGCTGCGTAGTGAGACCCTGTCTTGAAAGGGGGAAAAAAGTTAACTAAAGAAGATAAATTTTAACATATCTTTATCTTTATGTTTAAAACACGTTTCTTACTGACAGAATTAGATTTGTATATAGTCCATTAGCACTTACTGTAGTTATTGATATGATTGGTTTCAGGTCTACCACTTTCATTTTTCTGTTTTTTCCCCCATAATTTTTTTTTTCTCTTATTGTGGTTGTTTCAAATTTCTGCTTCTTTTGGAATATCTGAATTTTTTTCCTTAGATTTTATTTATTATTTGTTTGTTTATATAGTATTCTGCCTGCATGTGTGCTTGCAGGCCAGAAGAGGCCACTAAATCTCATTATAGATGGTTATGAGCTACGGCGTGGTTGCTGGGAATTGACCTCAGCACCTCTAGAAGAGCAGGCAGTCCTCCTAACCTCTGAGCCATCTCTCCAGCCCCCTGAATGAATTTTAATACGGTACTGTTTCTGCTTTCATTTACAGGTTTGGTTCTATTTGTAGTTGTTGCTTCAGGGATCATGATATAGATACCTTTTCCTGGACTTCTTAGGGTTATTCGTCATTTCAAGCATAACATGTATTTTTACATATTTCTGATTACATGTATTTCTGTGTGGATGTTCACGCATGTGCATATGTGGGTATGAGGTCAGAGGACAGTATGTAGGCTTCCACCCTCAGGCTTCTGGGGGTCAGACTCCAGTCATCAGACGTAGTGGTAGCCACCTTTACCTCCTGAGCCTTGGATCATCACCGTTTGTTCCTGAAAATCTGGGCTCATCTTTGCCATAATTTTCCTTCAACTTAAAAAAATATACATTTGCTTTTTTTTCAGTAAATGTGGTGGCACAGTTGTCTTTTTTGGCCTTTCTTCATCTGAAGATCTATTTTGCAAAGATTCTTAAAGGGTGTTTTCTTATCAGATACGAGATTCTGAGTACACATCCCTGTTAGCCTCTTAAATATACTTTGTGCTCTTCTGGCTGCTGTGTTTTCTCCTGAGAAATCTGTGTTCAGATAGTAACCTTTAAGTGACTACGAGGCTTTGCCTCTACAGCAAGCAGGCAGCCATTGGTGGGCTACCCAGCCCAGGTCGTGTAAGCCAATCTAAGAAATCAGCTTCGAAATATAGATCCATCCTCAGGTTCTCATCCTGCAGTGAAGCCTAATTCACTTGAGTATGTTAATGTGCACCTTTCATTGAATTGAGGTGGGGAGCATTTAGTGATCATTATTTCCTCAAATATTTATTTTCTGCACCAATGTCTTCCTCCTCTGCTCTGAGAATTAAATGATATGAATACGCTATAATCATGTCCCATACATTGTCACACACAGGACCCCAAGGTTCCGTTAGCTTAAAAAAAAAAAATCTGTTCCTTCTTTTTTTCAGATAGAATAATTCTGTCATCTATCTTCAAGTTTGGTGACTTTTGCTGTTACTTCCCTTATGTGAGCCTAGCCAGTATTTGATTTGATTTTTTTTATTCTAAAATCTCTATTTTTGTTGTTTTTCCTATAGTTTCTGTATCTATGCTTTGAAACAACTGTCTTTCCGGCCATTTAAAATACAACAGTGTGTAAGTATTCTTAGAGCTGGCGCCTGACTGTGTTCTTTACCTTAAGTACTGGTCACCGTGTGTGTGTGTGTGTGTGTGTATGTGTGTGTGTGTGTGTGTGTGTGTGTGTCTTCAGTAATTTTAGGTTGTGTTCCGGATACTGTGAATGTTAACACAGTATGATGAGTCCTGTTATGGCATTCTATGGAATGCTAATGTTGCCAAAGCTTTCTTAAGGAAAAAAAAAAAAAACAAACAATGGCTGGTGGGATGACATCATGTGTAAATGCATTTGCTGCTCAAGCCTGTGGCATGAGTTCGAGCCCCCATAAAAGCAGATGGAGAGGAGTTCAACTCCCCAAGGTTGTCTTCCGACCTCCACACGTGTGCACATGGGATCTGTGTGTCTCCCTGTCTCTCTGTCTGTCTGTCTGTCTGTCTGTGTGTCTGGTTTTCTCTGGGGGCTGTTTTTGTTGCTTGCCTGTTTTGTTTATTGAGACAAGGTCTCCCTACAAAACCAAAGCTGGCCTAGAACGTGCAATGTTGACCAGACTGGCCTCACACTTCCAGTCTCTGCCTTCTACATGCTGGGGTTACAGGTGTACTAAAATAATTATTTACATTTTGGGAGATGCAGAGCTGATCTGGTCTCAGTTCTAACTTTCACCTTTCTCTTGCTCTGTATTTCCAGGCACCTGCAGTAGCAAACCACATTTGCCAGGATCCTTTAAAAGTCAGCTTGGAATTGGGTTCAGCCAATAACAGGTACCGGCATGGATCTAGAAGACAGGAGGGAAACAGAGAGGCCAGAGAGTTTCCTCCACTTTCCGGTTTGGGCAGCAGCCCCAGCAATGGCTGTGTGTGAGTCCGTTCTCATCGCTATTACAAAATGCTTGACAGAAGCAACCTGAAGGATCTATTGGCTCACGGTTTCGGGTGTTGTAGCAGGAGGATGTATCAGAGGAAGTGTGGCAGTTAACACACACACACACTCACAGAGAGGGAGAGAGAGAACCTACACCTCCTTCTTTCATTCCGTCTAGACCCCTAGCCTGTGAGACGGTGTTACCACCTTTAGGGCAGATCTCTCTCTGTCGAACCTGTCCGGAAAAGCCCTCTCAGATGCTCGCAGAGATGTGCTTTATTAACCCTGGAGACACTTCTCAGCCCAATCGAGGTCACAGTCAAGATTAACTGTTTGGGCTGGGGTACCGGCTCGGTTGGAAAGTGCTTACCAAGTAAGCATGAAGCCCTGAGTTCAGCTCCTCCCACATACACACATGGGGTCGGTGGTGCACCCATGATCCAGCCCCGTTTTCAGGAGGAAGAAACAGGAGGACCCTTGGGGCTTGCTGGCCAGTCAGCCTAGCCAAGGCAGTGAGCTGCAGGCTCAAGGAGAGACCCTGTCTCAAAAAAAATAAGATGGAGGACTGAGGGAAGCACGAGGCATTGGCCTGAGGCTTCTTCCAGTTGTACAGATGTGAATGTGTGTGCCACCCCATCCCCACCCCCCAAAAAAAACAACTCAAAAGACTGACCATCCCAGCCTTGCGTCTTTTGCGCTCTTCCTCCTTGAGACGCCTTGTCTCTCCACGTCCCTGCTGGGTTCCCCCAGTTCTTCAGCTGGAGTCCTGTCACCTACCGCCTTCCCCAGGAGAGGTGACGCCTTCTTATATCCGACCACTGGGATTTTTTCACACCCCATTTTCCCTCTCATCTCCAACATATTAATCTCCCAGGGCTGGAGAGGTGACTCCTTGGTAAAGAGCTGTGGCTGCTCTTGCAGAGGACCCGGTTCCGATCCAAGCACACACACAGTGGCTCACAACCATCCCAAACTCCAGTGCCAGGGCACCTGCTGCCCTCTTCTGACTTCCCTGAGCACCAGGCATGGGCATGGTACACACACACAGGCAGGCAAAACACTCATAAAGGTAAAATTAAATAAACAGACCTAAACACAAACAAAAAAGATGAAATGCCCACGTTTTCCTCCTGCACTGCTTTGTCTTCGAGAGAACAACAGAAGGAACAACCCACCTATGGCTACCCAGGAGGGCAAGGCTTTGACATAAGTTGGCACAATCTTCATAAGAATATAAAAAATAAATTTTCGCTGGGCACAGAGGCGCATGCCTGTAATCCCAGCACTTGGGGAGACAGAGGCACGCAGATCTCTGTGAGTTCAAGGTCAGCCTGGTCAACAAAGCAAGTCCAGGATAGCCAAGGCTACACAGAGCAAGCCTGTCTTAAAATTAATTAGCTAGTTCATTTTCATCACACAACTAAATTTATGTAAAATTATATTGCATAGGCCTCCTTTTTCGGTGTGTGTATGTGCACCACCTTGCCTGGCATGCCTCCTCTTTTTATTGAAAATAGGACAGTCTGTCAGAATGTTGGCTGCTCCTCTTCATCTAGGTCCCTAACTCATCCCGTGTCCCATTAGCCCAGGAGCAGGTGAGGCTTGGGGAAATGAAGGGGCTTCAGAAAGACCTGGCAGCGTGCAGGCTTTGTAATGTGAGCAGGGGCTGAGGGCTCCAGCTGAGGGGACGAACTGTAAATGATGGGAATCAGGGGCTTCAGGGGCAAAGCAGGGCTCGTGGACTCCAGCCAGTTTGGAGAAAGACCAAAGGAGTGGCAGCTTCCCCCATGAAGCTAGACATTTAGAAAGACAGGAGCAGAGAATTCTCCCAGGGAACCTTGGGGGGGGGGGGCAGAGATGAGGCACAAAACCTAAGGCAGGGGGGGGCGGGGCGGGGCAGGGCAGGGCAGGAAGGCACTTCTCGGTTTCTGTCCTGTCCTGTTGGGGCTTTCGAGACAAGAAATGAAAACACAGCCAGCGTGCTCCATCACAAAAGGCCTTTAATGGCCTCTCGTTCAAGGTTCTTTTGCTCATTTGTCCTGTTAGAGTTGAATAAACTATAATGACTTCACGGGACAAGGGCGGCCACAGGTACAACAGGTTGACCTGGACGTGGTCCAGGAAAGAATGTGCCACAAATCATCACTTCACAGAGGTCCACAGGCCTGAGACCGCCCCAGCCACCCCGCCCCACCACACCCAGGACCCACGTCGGCTCCCACTCCTCGGAAGAGGCAGCCCCGAAGCAGCCCCTACTGGACCCAACCCTGAGCAGAGATACCCAGGGCAGACAGCAAATCCTGCAGTGCCATTTTGTGTGGGCCCTGTGGGTGGGCAACCCAGGCCAAGATCCTATCCCCTGCCACCTCATACGACCTCTCTTCCTACCCACCACCCTTATTTCCCTTTTAGTAGTCCCTATAAGGTGGGCAGAGCCTGGTACTAGCCCTTTACACATGGGAATCTGAGGTCAGTGGGGTCTCCTAGGCCACACTTGCACTGATTATAAACACCCGCTGGCATTCTTTCTCTCATGCCATGTAATTGGCAATGCCCTGGGCTCCAAATCCTCACCCAGAATGCCCCAAGAGGTGGGCCCAGGCAGGCCTTTTTGCCAAAGGCTGACCTAAGTCTTATCAAGGAGCTGTCCTGCAAGTGAATCCCTATGCCACTGCAGGCCATGAGAGAGGGCAGCTGGTGGACTGCAGAAGGGGGGGTCAGCCTCTCTCTGGGCACAAAAGCCTCCTGTGGTGTACATGGACACCTACATGTGTGGAATAGAATCTTAGGAGAGTCACTCATGAAGATTTGCTTTAAATGCCCCTCAGGAATCCTACCTCAGAAAAGCTTTCCCCAGCACATCTCTTACTCGAACCTGGATTCCTACCCCTTGGCTGTGCATAAAGAAGCCAACCCTAGCTCCTCCTCCCACTGCCCTGCTCTTCCTGTCAAGCCACGGGCCTTGCCTAAGAACGAGTCCTGAGTGGACATTGGGCCTCGATCCTCACTCCATGGTCCCTGTGCAGCACACGCCAATATCATGACCAAGGTCTACCTTCACTGAGCATCAGGCCCAGCCCACATCAAACTCATCCCCAAGCTTGAGGGTGGCTCAACTAGAAAACAAGTGCACATGTGCGCTCAAATGCGTGGACCTGGTGACCTGAGTTCCAACACAAAGTCTGTGTCAGGATGCTGGAGTCACCCCAACACACAAAAGCAAGAAGAGAGCCTGTGCTTGCTGGTCTAAGATCAACCCCCAGAACGGTGGTTTGAAGGTTTTCTTCAAAGCAGAATTTAAAAGTGAAACCTCAATAGACAAGAGTTAAAAGCAGTTATTCCGGAGAAGGTGGGAATGAGGAGAGGGCTGGAGTCTCAGCCCCCCTTCCCCAGTTTCTCCTGGTAGCAGCCCCCTGGGAGGCTGTGTGGAACACCGAGAGGTGTGCTTGGTCTGCAGACAGTGGGTCCCAGGGACCTGTGCTTTGACTTTGACCTCCCTTTCGGGGGTAACAAGTTGGCGATGCTGAGGGAGGTTGCTTCCCCTTCCATGGGCCTCCCGTTGAAGCTAGTGTGCATGGGGGCAGAGGTGTGATCTGCTCCCATCGGTAGGCTGCTTAGAGCCAGGAGGGAGGGCAGAAGTTGTGGAGCTGCCTGGACCAGGCCCAAGACAGGCTCTGTGGATAAAAATCAGTGAAGTCCTATTTGGTCCTTAAGTTTAAAAAGAGTAAGTATCAGAACAGACAGCAGCCTGTGTCCTGGGAGTTCACGGTTGAAGCCTAGCCCCTCTCTGAGGGATGGGAGCCTTAGCCATTGGTGGGAGAGAGCTGCCCTGGGTTACAGAAGCTTCTGTGAGTGGATCAGCTAGGTCTCAGCTCCCAGAGCAAGAGGACTGGACATTCCCAAAGGTCTCCAAGGAGCTGTAGTGGAGGATCTGTTGATCCAGGACGAGATCTTATACTTAGAAGAGGCAACCTCTACTTCCTCTCACCCTTGGGTTTCTTGGGTGGCACAACAGTGGGTTCATCTCCCTGACCTACAGTCAGAGTCCAGGCACAAGATGCTCCTCCCCACCCTCCTACCCCCAGTCACTGACAACACCCATGTCTTCTGCGTGCTGGTTGCTGGGACCCATCCTTAAACAATAGCACCTACACTTCTCCCCGAGTGTGGTCACCAAAGCCACAATGGCTGATTGTCCTTGTGGCTGATATCTAACTGGGAAAATCAGGACAAAAGACAGAGACTGGCAAACAGAGGGCTCATTCCGCAGCGAGCTTCCTGCGTGACCTCGGGCCTCCTCCCTGCGGTGCCAGGGCCGCACCTGTGCAGCAGGTTGCAGCCTACAGAGGACTGGTTCCTGGCTCTCACCTCACCTTGAGCCCATAGCAATCCCTCAAATAAATCAGACAAAGGCTATTGTTCTAGCGAGTAGGGACTGAGAGGTGGCCCTTTCGCTGCACCAGGTGGGCATCAGGCTCTCAGCCACCCTTCACGGGGAGCCAGCTATGCTTTAAAGCTGAAATGGCCATGCGTCCAGCCAAGCAGCTCAGTCCTTATCTTTCTGGGAACTGAATTCCTCTCTTGGCTGGGGCACCAGGCAAGTCCAAGCTGGACTGACAAGCTTTTTCCAAAGCATGCACTCCCTGCCCAGATTGGCATCAACATGTGCCCTTTGGAAAGTCCCAGTGTGGGCTGTTTGGTGGCACACGCCCCAGTCTGTCACAGAAAAAGGCCAATACCACTCAATGATGCTGGAAGCTCATGAGGCTCTCCTGTCTCCAGTTTCACTCCCAGTGCTGCCTGGCCAGGCCAGGAATACTCCAGGACAAAGGAAAGCCCCGCAGAGAAGTACCAGGTCATGTGGGATGAGGTGAGGCATGGTGTCTGGAAAACACCAGAGGCCTAGACCGAAGAAACACATCAACTTGTGCATTTCACCCATCATGGCAGCACACGATGGCGAAGCAGGGGCAAATGACACCAAATTGCAGTCTCCTGCAGTGTAATTCCCAGGGTGATTTTGAATCCACCTGGAAGGGATACTGTATCCAAGCTCACAAGGCACTCCGTGGACTAGCTGTGGCCAGCACTGTCAACACTGGCCTCTAACTTTCCCCTGGCCAGAAGCTTTCTATAGACAAGGATTCTAAGGAGAGATTCATCTCAGTGTCTACAGTACCCAGCATAAAAGAAAAAAGCTGTCAGAAAGGATGGTTTGGCTGGGACCAAACTTGATCATTGCCTCAGGCAGGCCTGGCTCAAAGTACACAGAGGCAGCCAGGGCCTTGATGCTTCCCTGCAGGTAAAGAAATTTCAGTTGATCTGTGGGATAAACCCAAAGGGTGACTGGGGATGCTGAAGTTCAGGAAGCTCAAGAATCTAGACAAAGAGATCCTTTGCTTGTACAAGGTAAGGATGGGGGAGAGGAGGAGTTAGCCCAAATGCTAACAGGCTTTGAATCAGCTCCAAAGGTTTTAGTGGAAAGGAGTGGCGGGCACATGCTTGCCTTACACTGTTCAAGATTTTAATCAATTCTATAGGTGCAAAAGTGCCCAGCTAGCTCTGGCAGGGGCTGGATGCCGGAGGAGCCTGCAGGTAGGACCCCAGGGCTGGCCAGGGAATATGACTGCCCCAAGCTAGCTGTTCTAATCTGCCTTGAGTTGACTGCTTATGAGATTTAGGAGGTGCAGGGCCAGTGGGCCTGGATCATTTCACCATGAGAAGCAATTGCAATCGTTGGGCATGATGGGCTGAAAATGGTTGGGATTCAATCTGTATAATAAAGTACAAAGCCAGTAGTGGTGGAACACGCCTGTAATCCCAGCACTTGAGACAAGAGGATCAAGAATTCAAAGTAATTCTCAGCTACACACTGAATTCGTGCCTATCCTAGGCTACATGGTACTGTCTCAAAAACAAACAAAAGGTTGCGGTCTCCCCTCTCAGACAAGCATGGAACTAAGAAAAAGGGACCCGAAATCAAGATGAGAGCCTCTTGCCCTGCTAATCAATATGTTTGAGAAAACCAAGGTTGTCCACTCACTTCTCATGCAAACCTCAGCAAACATAAGCTCTGGCACAGAGAAGGTTGCAAAAGCTGTGGCCACAACGTGAGATCAGACAAGCCGATTAGGTCCAAGGGCAGGAAGGCGCACTCAGTGCTCTGCCCAGCCCTGAGTCCTCTGAGGTCCCAACAACCTCCTCTGAAGGCAGATGGAGCAGCTGGCATCCCAGCTCCACCAGGTAGATCAGAGGCCCTGAGAGCCACAAATTTACAGAAGCTAGAACCGGAAACTCTTGGGATCATCTGGTCTACCTCTTGGCTTTCCGACAAAAAACTGGCCCAAGGTCACACAAGAAGCTGGCATCAAAGACCAAACAAGGATATCTTTAAGCACTTTGTTTTACCACCTGTTTGTTCTGTTACCCCAAGACACCCCAGCCAAATCACACTGACACCAGCTGATGGATACCACCATGACTCTGCATACCAGTGGGGTCAACTCCTTCGGGAAAGGAGCCAGCTGCCTTCCTACTAGAGAGTACATCTCTATGGAGGCCACCTTCTGGGAATGGGTTCCCTTAACCATGAGAATGGTGGCCTCAGGTAGCTCTCTCTCCTGGCTTGTAGAGCCAAGTCACTGGAGAACTACCAGAAGTTGGAAGACACTGGGGACTCCATCCACCTGTAGCCCCCATCCTTGCTTCCTGCAGGACTATCCACTAAAGAGGAGGAGGCAAGTTCATCTCCCTGCCCTGCCTCATCTTCTCAACCTCCCTCAGAAAGCCTCCTCAGTAGCTTTGGCTCACTACCAGGGGCTGGTGTTTGTTAAATACCCACTTCCCCACTCTGTGCCCACACACAAACTGTAACAAAGCTAAGATATCTCATCCCATCAGTATATGTGCGGCTGGATGTAGAGCCTGCCTCAGTCTAGGTGTCTGCTGGTTAGAAAGGCAGCCTATTGCTCCTCACTCCTGGGGTCTGTGTGCCTCCCCCATGAGATACAGGGACATGGACCAAGGATGAGAGTAGAGGGAGTGGAGTCTCTGGTAGGCTTGGACCACAAAAAAATAAAATAAAATCATCAAGACTCTCGTCACAAGTCCAGCCCTTTCCCACCTTCAATACAAGTCCTCTTTTAGCTGCCCAAACTGTCACCTCCTGGGACTGCAAACATCTTCTTGCCCAACCCCTACATATCATCATACCCACCATCACTGTGGCCTTCTGGCCCCAGTCTCCCATTTCTGCTCCCCACCTCAAGCCAAATCCCAAGGCCAGGCAGTGTGGCCTTTCTGGGAATGAGCATGAAAAGGGGGCGGACAGGTGATTGCAGAGGGATGGCTGAGGATGTGCTATGGTCCTGCTGGCATGGTGACGTGAGGCCAGTTCTGAGGCCAGAGGCTCATCACCGAGACTTGGAAGACCACTGGGGCCCCCTGGTAGAAACTGGAAGAACAAAAGGGAAGGGAGAACCAGAATGGGAAGGAGACGAGAAAGCATCGAGTGCAGACGTGAACCTGGAGCTGCCAGGGTGTGGGCTGGCCCCAGTCTATCTGTTGTTGAGGTGTGGAGAGCCAGTGCCATCATCCTCTTCATCCTTGTCATCCTTAATGCCTTTCAGCCTCTGCCGGGCAAAGTCCTCAAATACAATGTCGTCATCACTAGTGGAAGAGACAAGGAAAATGTCTTGTGTTTGCAGGGGCAGACAACAAGCAGACCCAAATGCCTGGCCAGATGTGGGGAGAGGGACTCAGGAGAGAACCACGCTCTCCAGGGTCTCTGGGATGACCTCAGGCAGAAAGGTGTGCCAGGCTACCCATTTAGAAGCCCACTGGTGGCTGTGGGGATTGTCACACATAAATGACAAGAAGTTTGCCTCTCAACATCTAAGGGCTAGAAAAGTGAACCAGTTTCAGACACCTAGTGGTAGAATGTGGCTCTACAGGGAATCCCCAAAGAACATCCCAAAGCAACCCCATTTCACCCCTCAAAATCAAACCAACAAGATTGCTTCAGGGAGCATGCTGTTTCAACCAGGAAGTTGGTGCTGGGCTCTGAGGAAGAGAAAGCCTATACAGGCTCTTCCTCCTAGAAGTACTAGCCCACATGCTATCCCCAGGGACCGACAGCAGACCCACAGGGGAAAAGGTGCCTGGCTAGCGTGGCAGGACTAAGGACTGTTTCTTTCCATCATGTCACTTAAGCACAGGCAGAGGCACATGAAGTCCCTTGCCCCACAGAGTTCAGCCAGCTGAAAAGTCTTCCTCACAGGGCAACTTGAAACTCCCATTTCCCAGAGCTCTTCAAAGAGTCAAGGAAAGAAGGTTTAGGGAGCTGGAGGGAGAAAGCAGCCTGCCCCAGAGGTGATTCAAGCCATTGAACCAGGTCCTCTTCCTCTGGCCATTGTTTGGTGCCCCGTGGCCTTCCACCGCAGGGGAATCCGAATCAGTCGGTCCTCAGGGGCGGCAGAAATGACAGCACCCAGACACCTTCTCCACCCTACAGGCAGCCTCCAACTGGTATGGGCCAGGTGAGAGAGGGGAGCCCAGGGGCTGAACCAGCCCCGTGCCAGCCAGCCAGCTGAGTGGGTGCTGCGGATGACGAACGTGCAAGGAAGACAGACCCCACCAAGGCAGGAGGAAGAGGAACAGGCACGGAGGGTCCTTCAGGTCACATGCAGGCAAGCAGGTTGCTGAAGAGGCGAGCAGAGGTGGCGCCCAGCAGACAGGTTAGACCAGCTGCCCTCAGAGGTTAATAAGCATTTATGCAAATCACCCCTCCACCTCTCCTGTCCCACCTCCAGCCCCACACCCAGACAATCACAGGCAGGAAGGTTCGGCTTACTTGGTGTCAAGCTCTATGAGATTGGTGTCTACCGGAGTCTCGCTCTCTGGAACTGAACATACACACGAGGCTCGTGAGGCACCCAGTGAGGAACGGGATAAGGACCCCACCACCACCCCGGGGAAGGGAGGAGGGAGGAGAGGGGGAAGCCTCCCAGGTCAAAAGCCGCAGATGCAAGGAAGGGAGGCCTCCATGCCCACTGAAGACCCTGCAGGAGACAGGTCTCCAACGTGAGACACAGGAATTTCTTGCTTCCTGTGTCCATTTACTCTAAGATTGTTTTTACGGTCCTGGCTAGCCACAAACTTGTGATCCCCCTGCCTCACACACCTCTCTCTGCTGCAAAGGTGGGCGCGTGCTGTGGTGCCTGGCTGTTTTCTCACACTGTAACCTCTCTGAATTCCGAGTGCCATCTACGGCATTGCAGAGTCTATTAGTAGGCACAGGCTTCGTTTGTAACGTGGACTGTAGCAATGGTCCCTTTCAGTGGAATACGGCCAATCTGTCACCACTTTCAAAACTCAGGGAATATGGGGACTGAAAAATGGCTCAGCACTGAGAGTACTGGGCCTTCAGGTCGTGGGCTCAATTCCCAGCATATACAGGGTGTCTTAACAACCATCTGTCACTCCAGTCCCAGTGGATCTGACACCCTCTTCTGGCCTACGAGGTATTGTATGTATGTAGTACACAGGCATACATATACATAAAATAATTTTTAAATGGAAAAAAAAATTAAAAATCCACCAACATGGCCTGCCCTCCCCTCCTAGCCTCCCTCTCTCTGTCTCCCAGTTGGGTCAAAAGCAAATGCCAGTTGTACTGTGGGTCCTGCAAAAGACAGGGAGCTGGGGAAAGGTGGCACCGGGAAGGCTAACACAGAAACAAGCGGGGTGTTGGGTTAACAGGTAAGCCCCACCCCAGTGACCCACAGGTCCACTCACCTTCGCGGTGTGGAGGCTCCTCTTTAGGCTTGGGGTGCATTAAGGTAAAGGGTAGTTCCACAGCCACGTCGCTGAAACACATACCCAACTCAGTGAGCTCCGAGGAAGCCCCAGGCTCTGAGCTCTGCCGCCCTGTCAGTCGGAGGCCTGGGGAGGTCACTGAGAAGCAACCTCACTCCAGTTCAGCTACTCTGACCTTCGCCTCTTCTCCTGTCTTTACAAAGTGATAGAAGCCCTACCAACCCCACTCCACCCCAGCAAAAGAAAAGAAGCAAAAATCCCCCCAGTTTTAAGGATTGTGGGCTGGGGACGTGCCCGCTGGGGACTCACACCATGGTCAGTGGGTGACCAAGGTATCCTGAGACCCTGACCACCTCAAATCACCATGGCCTCCTGACATTACCTCCCCCTGCCAAATTTTCTCCCAACCTTACCCACCCCATCTCCCAACCTCCCATAAAGGTGTTCGGGTGAGTCCACGTCCCTACAGGCTTCAGGGACCGGGGTTCAGAGCTGTCCATGCCATGTGCAGATTCTGGCGCCTCATATGTGTGCATGTGAGAGGGAGAGCTGCCCATTGCTGGGTAACCAGGCCTTCCCTGACCATGTCTCTGACAGACAGGCTGAGGACAAGAGCAGGAACTTGTTGGTACAGAGTGTACCTAGGACTGTTCCAAGGCCCTCTTTAGAGCAACTCCTGTAATCCTCACAACAGTCCTATTTGTTATGATGGCCTTGGCACGGACCAGGAAGCTAAAGTACGAGGAGATTAAGCCTCTTGCCTCAGGCTGCACAGCTATGAGGTGGTAGGTGAAGAAAGACTCCAGCTCCATCGTTCATCCCCTTAGTCATCTGTTTGTCATCCCCTGAATGACAAACAGAATCGAGAGACTGATAGAAAGTAGCCCCAAAGGCTCCTCTCTGCCCAAGGAGGAAAGCTTCCCTAAAACTATGAATGCCTCCAGAACACAACCACATTTTTTATTGATCCAGCTGGGAGGGAGGAACGGACTGGGTGTGGAGAGCTGGTCGAAGCCGGATTCAGTCAGCCTTCAAAGAAGCCACACTGTATGTGATTGGAAGGACCTGTGCTTGGCTTTGCCAGGCTGTGAGTGATAAGGACACCGCTGTTTCCCTTCTGGGATTCCAGTATCCTGTATAAGCCTGGCCCGCAAGTGTGGACTCATAAACTCTTTGCTGGATGACACTGCACAAGACCGAATTTTCTCTTGAATCACTCAGGTTTGGTAGGATAAGAGACGCCATCATCATGTGACAGCAGGAGGCCACACTCACTATCATGTCTGGGGTAGACATGTTCCTAAATTGTCATCTGGCTGCAAGGGCAACTGACTGCAGTTGGCCGTGACTGCTCAGTGGAGCAGAAGTTTGAAAGCCACTAAGAAGGCAGCATATCTCTGAAACATCCTAGGATTTGGGTCGGTAACTTAGTTGCCCTCCTAGGGACCACTGCCCAGATCACTGTTGTCTACAAAGGTCTTGTCACTTGAGTGGGAAGGAAAGCTGGTTGAGGTGTCTTGCCAGGAGCTACATCCAGGTACAGTTCTGGTTTCAGTACATCCCCAGCCTGCAATTTGAGCTGACCCTCTAGATTCTTCCCTCCCACCTCCAGTTCTGATCAGCTAGTGACCCTGGGACCTCCAGGAAGGTGGACAAAGCAGGACAAAGGGAGGGGCTTTACCTGGATGCGAGGTCTCCCAACAGGCTGAGTGGGCCAGGGGAGGCGGAAGAAGCAGCAGGACAGAGCGCAGAGCGGGAGGAAAGAGAAAGGACATTCATTCACTGCACGCCACCCAGCCACAGAAGACCCAAAGGACACGCTCCCCACCCCTGTGCATCCGACATCTCATCTACGGCATGGAGGGGCGGACTGGCTTGCAGAGCCCCTGAACCCCAGGATCTTCGTTGATAAAAGCTAATCTTCCCATTCCCGGGCTATCTAATGGCAGAGGAAAGACTCTGGGGGGTCACTGGGATGTAGGAAGGCTGTGGGTCCTGTGAGGTCCCACAGGATTGGCCACTGGGTGTAGAAATGTCCTGTAATATCCAGTCGGTATTTCCTGCCTGCAGCAAAGACAATCTCTGTTCTGTTGAGACAGTCTGTGTGATACAGTCCAGGCTGACCTCAACTCGCTATGCTGTCAAGAGTGGCCTTGATTGAATGCCTGGTCACCTGCTTCTCCCTCCTAAGCGCTATGACTGCAGGAGTGCGCATCATCCTTGACTTGGAGATGTTGCCCTAACAAATGCTCTTTAGTTCTTCAGGAGAACTATTTAGGCCTTATTTTCCCCATCTACAAAATGGGAGAGTCAGCCAAGTTAGCAACCCCCTAATTCAGTTCCAGGTTTCTCAGCCTGACGTGTGTGGGCACTCTACCCTGAGATGTAAGAAAGGCCAGGTAGCCATGTAGGCCCTGAGTTACAGTAGACACACAGTCTAGGACATGGTGACTCACGTAGGCTGTGCCCAAACCTCAGAGCCAGACCCAGGCCTAGGCTAAAGAGAAGAGAGAGAGAGAGAGAGATGGAGGGGAGAAGGAACCAGAGGGAAGAGAAAAGCAAGTTCTCAAGTCCCACTTCCTCCTCAGGAAGGTGCAGCTGAAAGGCCAGGCAAAAAGGCGGGATGGGGCAGGGCACTGGGGCAGGGACTTACCCGCCCCGAGACACCACCAGCTTCACTTTCACTTTGTAGGAAACAATGATCCCCAGGATCTCACGGTTGGCACCTTCCCTCAGCCTGCAGGGGAGACGGGGAAGCTGGTCCTTGGGGCTCCTTGGCGGGTGGGGTGTGGTGGGCAGCGGAGTACAGTGGGAGGTACTGTCCATCCCTCTCCTGAGCCACAGGATCCAACAGAGGTGGGAAAGGGAGCTGTGCCCAGCGGACCAGAACTTGCAGCCTTGGGTTCTGTTTATGTGCCTCTTTGTGGTAGCAGAGATGAAATCCAGAGCCTCAGGCAGGATGGGCAAGCGCTGTACCACTGAGCCATGGTCCTGGTCCCTTGGGTTCCACATCTGGCTATGAGATGTCCTTTCTCTGTAGCCCTAATGGGTCCTTGTCCCTGCCTAGCCAGTGCCACACAGTGCAGTGAGAGCAAGCCCTAGCCACCCTCCCACCACTCAGGTCTCTCATAGATTTTAGGCCTGGTAACCCATGAACAGAGAGGGCCACATGGAGAGCTGAGAAGCTAAGGGCGGCTGGGGTCAGGGTAGCATGGGAAGGATGTGTGCAGGAGGTGATGCCTCATGGTGGGGGCTGGGGGGTGTGGAAAGCAGGTCAGATAAGAGTCAGGGTGAAAGAGGGACAAAGAGCGTGTTGGTGAATGGGAAGCCGGTGCAGGGTGATAATGTGATGGTCTAGCCTGAGTCAAGTCTAGCTGGGATACTGGAAATGGTGGTCTCAGATGCAACAGAGATGCAAATCCTTCAGATGGTCTCAGATGCAAATCCCTCCCATCAGAGAGGATAAGAATCCCCCATGACTGTCTGGCCTCTTCTAGAGTGGGACAACCCTGAAGGCTCAGTGATGCCCATGGAAGAAGAGTGACCAAGAGGGTGGGGCCCACCGTGGAGTGGACACTAGGGGCCTGGGGCTTGGCGGGGGTTGGGGGTCAGTTCTCACAGAGTGCTGGAAGCCAGATTTGTGTCTTCATGCTTAAGCTTCCCGTCCAGGGCGAGTCCCCGCTTCTCTCGGTTGTTGGCCAGGAAGGGAGTCAGCGTGTAGACCTTGCAGAACGTTGAGCTGGGCGCCACAGTGTCACTGGGAAGTAGAGAGGCAGCATGAAGGTGGCCCTCATCACAGCCAGCCCTAGCCCAGCCAAGATGGCTGGCCTGGCCCTGTTCCAAAACTCCCTCTGCCAGCAACCTCTGTATCCCAGATGCAAGGGACCACTTGGGCCAGGCCCAGCTCTGGCAGGAAGCCCACTACTACCTGAAAGAGGTGTACCACAGAAGCAGAACTGCCGTTGGGCCGGGAATGACCATGATGAACACGTCAACAGCACACTAACTTTTATTATTTATTTAATGATGAAGAGTTTGTGTGTGCGTGCCCCACACGCATGCAAGTGCTCTCAGAGGCCAGAGGAGAGCATCCATCCCATCCCCTGGAACTGGAGTCACAAGCTATTGTGAGCAACCTCATTCGAGTGCTGGAAAATGAACCCTGGTCTTTCGGAAGCACAGCAGGTGCACGCAACTGCTCGACCATCTCTCCAGCCCACGTTTCCTTTTAAAAGTATTGCTGCGTACAAACCATGAGGAGAGCTGCTGCGTGCCTGGAAGTCCTCCCTAGCTGTGCAGGCACTTCCCTTGTTCATTTTTGCCTGGTGTTGTTTCACGTCCACTCTCCCTTTTCGAAAATGAGACCGGTGCGTGCAACTATGACCGGGACAGCTCTGAAGTAAAACCCAGATTTGCCTCTCTGAGTGGGGCCAGGCACAGCTCAATCCCAAGTCCAGTCCCACAGGAAAGCGTGCTCCCCGGAAGCCCAGGCAGCCAGCCACCCTTTCTCCAGGCTGAAGATGCAATTATGTCACAGAACGCGGCGTTCCTCTTGGGGCTAAATGCTATTCTGGCTCTGGGTCATTTCACTGTAACCCCAACACTCCGCAGAAATCTATGCCCCATAGCTGTGGGTGTTCTATATATATTTTAAATCAACAATGGCTATGAGAATATCCAATAATGCAGCAAGAATTTGGTTTAATAATGACATTCATCTCTAAGCTATTGGCTTGAGTTCCAGGCAAACCTAGGCTACATAGTGAGCTTTAGGCCAGCCTTGACTCAGAGTGAGACCTGGACTCAAAGGCCAAAACAGGAACCACTGAGGCCACTCAGCATGCAAAGGCACGTGTCACCTGAATTTCAAGCTAGGACATACATGGTAGGAGAGAACTGACTCCCATAAGCTCTCCTCTGACCTTCACATGTGTACCACTTTTAAAAAATGTATGTAAAATGAGACTCTCCACATCATCTCCTGTGAATGTCAGAGAAGATGGAAGCCCAGCCACCTGCATGTTGAGAAGATGCCTGGGGTCCCGGATTCAGAACCTCCCTTTCTCCCATCTAGTCCCACCCATCCAAAGTTGGCCTTAAACACACTTACTCAGCCTCCTCCATGGCCACCGGGCACTTGTACTGAGCTGTGTTGAAGAGACAGATGTCTGCATACTGGCGCACTGGGGAGAGAGGGGGAAGGTGAGCACGAGTCGGGGGGCAGCTTCCAGGATGCACCCCAAGCTCCCTACGTAGAAGTACTTAGATCGAGACAATGGCCAGGGTTCCCCAGAGGCTACCACCCCAGCTTCCACCCAGAGAAAAACAGCCACCAAAGTCCAGTCCCCTCCATGACCAAGTCTTTCCTCTCAGGACAGCCTGGCGAGGGTCCAGACACCTATGGAGAGGCGGCCAGAGCAGTAAACCCGTTGCCTGGGACACTGGCTTTGAAGCCACCAGTGGCTGAGGGCAGACCCCAGCTCAGAAGCTGCTAACGGTGGTGCCTCGGGCTTTTAACGAAGGCCATGCCTGCAGCTATCCCGACCCTCGGAAGGGTCCCCAGCTACCCGAGATCTTGATCTTCTTCACAGTCTTGTTGGTGTTGTTGGTGACGTGGACATTGACGCTGATAGGTTCTCCGTGGTAGTAGATCTGTGAGGCAAAAGACAGGAGAGCGTGGACAGGGGCAACCCCCATCCATTCTACCATCTGCCCCAAGTCCATCAGCCACCTCCCACTGGTATAAAAGTGTCACACAAAACAGCAAGTGTATCAACCTTCGGTAACATTGTGGGACTTTTCAAAGATGCCTGTATGGGGCGGGGGGCAACAGTGGCTTTGTCGGTGAAGTGCTTGTGTTGCAAACACAAGGACCTGGGCTTGCTCTCCAGAGCCCATATAAGACTGTGGGTGTGGTGGCTACTGTTGGTTACCCCAGGACTAGCAAGGCAGAGACAGGAGCAGCCCTGTCTAGGGCTCAATGGCCAGCCAGTCTAGGCCAATTAGTGAGCTCCAGGCCAATGACCGACTGTCTCAAAGGAGGTAGGTGGTGAGCCTGAGAATGACACCCCTAAGGCTGTCACCCGGCTCCACACGCATATGCACCCATACACACCCACATACAAAAGGAAAGGGAGCTGACAGCCCGGGCTCCGGTCCTGTTCTGACCGCTAGCTAAGACAACAGTAGTAGCAATGATGGTGACTGTGTGACCTTGGACAGGTTATCTGCATCTCAGATTCTCCTTTATTCAATGTGAGGGCTTGGACAGAGCAAAGTCTCAAGTCCCAGTGGGCTCTGACGGCCTGGGTTTGCGTACACAGAAAGCTCTGGAAGATTCAGGGGAAGAGAGGGATGGCTAACCAGCCCACTCGGGGAAGGACCGCCACCATCTTGTCCAGGCTCTTGCCTTTAGCTGCCCCAAGGAGAAGCACAGCACACCCCAGTCAGCTGGCTTAGAGTTTCCACAGTTTTTTGCCTTCTAGCTCATGGGAAAGGGGGTAATAGCAGGGATTCCCTGGGCCCTGCTCCCCATCACCAGCCCTGATGATATACTAAGCTTTTCCACCCAGCCTGAAATAAGTCGCTATCAGGGCATGAGGAGGAATGGCCAGGACCCTTCCAAAGGGCCCATTGCTTCCCTCTGGTAGGTGTACATGCCTACCTCTGTCGGTCCTTTGAACCCCAAAGGATTCCCAAAACCCTTAAGAGGGGTCAGGGGACAGTAGTGGTCTGAGGGGTTTCAGAGCTGTGAAAAGTGGGGTCTGAGCCTCTTACCTCCTTATCCAGAGACGCCTCAAGGTGCAGAGGCTTGTCCGACATAAGGAACTGTCTGGTGGTCTCAGCCGTGGGCTGAGGGCCAGGCCTCTCTGGAGCATACTGAACCTTCCGGATGACTAGCCGCACAGAATTCCTGAGGGAGACGTGTGGGGAGGAAGATAAGAGTCATCAGGCTCCGTGCTCTCTTCTCTGAAACACCTACATCCCTCTCCTGCTCACGAGGCTACTGTCGCTCCCCACTGCCTGCCAATCACAGAGGTTAGCCCAGAGGGCTTGTCACCATATGACTCCGCTCCGGCCTCCTCCGTTCTGTCATTGAGCCCCGCCACAGCAGCACTTCATTTGGGTCCGTGTCCCAGCACCCAGCGTAATGGTAAGAAAGGGGCCACTTTTTACTTCTTGCGTAAGCTGCCTGGAGATGAAAACTTCGTGTCTAGCTCTTCACTACTAGTCTCAGCGTGTGTGGCAGTGCCTGACACGTGGCAGCCTTATCTGTTAGGCACCTGCTAAGTGGAAATATGCAGAATGCCCTCACTCATGGGAGGTGGGGGAGGGGATTCGTTATAAGATGTAGATTCAGCCAAGAGGTGCAGGACGGCGAAGAGGGGACTCGGGGAAGCCCACGGATGAGAGGGGTTCAGTGGAGGTCGCTGGGCTTGGAGGGGCAGACACTCAGTGGCACACGGGGAGTGCCAGCAGCAAGCCACCTCCATTCCCTGGAACCTGAGAGACAGGGTGGCATGCCTAGCTCTCCTCTCTCCACATGACCTCTCCGTGCTTCAGTTTCCTCCTCTGTGAAACGGTGGCAACAGCACTTACCCCTTAGGACCCCTGGGGGGTAAACCAGGCCACATCTGTGCATCACCCTGAACATGACTGGAACCAACTAAGCATTTGAGAACTGACAGCTACTGTATCATTATTACCGGCGAATCCTGGGAGTGGACTTAAGAAGTCCCATTGGGAGAGGATGAGCGCGGTATCCCTGTGTTGCCTGCTGTTCATTGTTCTGCTCACGATTCCTCTCACATTCTACAATGCCATTAGGTCCCCTTCATCTCCAGTCTTAACGGAAAAGTTGGGACAGACTCAAGAGAGAAGAGTCTTATCTCCCACATACAGGTGCTGCCCAGGCAAGAGAGAAAGGCTGTGATATACCCAGTCGCCACCAGGTGGCAGACTCATCCCCAAAGAGGCTGGCCGACACCCCTCAGCTGACTGGTCTAGGATCCTGACTTAGGGTGCAGGGCCTTCAAAGTTGGGTGCAAGGCCAGGAGACAGGGGGTCCTGAACCCCAGGAAGGGCAGCCATGAGGAGTTAGGACGTGCTGCTTTGTCCTGTCTGCCAAGCACTGCAGGAGAAGTCTTTGAGCCGCCCTGAGACCCCTCCGGGTTCACTCTTTCCACTTCCCTCTCTCGTTCACATCCTCCAAGACACACTGGCTTCACTTCTGCTGATGGCCTCTCAGTGGACAAACAGGAGCGTGGATGGCCTGGAAACCTTCCAGCTGAAAGCTACCTGAAGTTGGGGTCTTTCTAATTTTAACAAGCTGCAGTCTGGAGAGAAGCCTGGCTCAGGCCCACGAGAACTCCTTCTCCAGGAAGCTCGCCACGATCCTTCTCACAGCACAGCCTTCCTCATCACTCCTCTTTGGATATCCCCCTGCTGCCCTTCCTCCCCTCCTCCCCAGCACCCCGAGTACCTTTTGTGGATCTTCTCCTCCAGGCTCTCAGCACAGAAGGCTTTGACTTCATAGTCTACACCACAGGCCTGTGGAGAAGGGCATGCTGACCTCACGGTTTTGGGGAGGCAAGGTCCCCAACCTCCCTCCCGTCTTACAAACCAGAATGCTGGACAGAAACATAAGCTTTTGACACCGGAGGACTCCTTGATGCGAATCTGAAACCCTGGTACCCAGTGTTGGCTCTGACCCGATGCTGCCTCTGACCCAGGACCTTCCACTAGAGCCGCTTCCGTGAGCCCACCAGCCAATCCCACCTGCCTGGGGGACTTCTGCTTCAGTTTGGGTGGTGTTCCTCATCAAGGTAGCTGCCAGCAATGTGAAGACCCTGTGTGGGGCGCCACGGTGTCCTCCTAACCCTCTAACAACATGGGGCAGCATGTTCACTGTCTCAGATGAGAGTGCGGGCTCTACAGTCTGGGGCCTGGGATGCTGCCGGTGTCACTCCTCGCCAAGCTTCAGTAAAACAGCTTTGGAGTGATCCCACCTCCAAACCAGGCTCTGCTGGGGCCTGTGTGAGGCTACACGTAGGCACTCGGAATTCGCTGGCCCTGTGCAGTCCATGCCAGAGCCAGCAAAAGTGACTCAGGGGAGCCTGCGACACATCACTGAATGTGGGGACGAGGCCAGCCTGCATCTGCAGCCTTGCCTCAAGAGACTGACTGTCCAAGGACTTTCAGCCAGGCCAAGGCCCAGGCAGTTTTGCAGGGAGAAGGTTCCAGATGTCTACTCCCCCACGGGGAAGAAACCAGGACCCTGGGGATATGAGAGCTTGGACCCAGAGGTGGTCTTCTTGGAATGACTTACCTTCCCTGTGTCCTCCGGCCCTGGCTGCAATGTCACCGAGCACGGAAGGTTTGGAGGGATCTGTTCAGGAGACAAATAACATGAGCTAACCCTTTGTCTCTGCCTTGTCTTTCCCTACATGCCTCTGTTACTCCTATACACCATCAGGCCAAGTCCCCTGAGACCAGACCGTCTCCAGTCCATCAGACCACAGCCTCGGAAAACAAGCCGTATCTCTTCTAGCAGACTAGGGGCTCCTGAAATAAACAGCTTCTCTCCTGGTCAAGCCCTATTTTGCCATGTCCCACGGAGGATCAGGGCAGATTTGCAAAGATAAGAATTTGAATGTTCTTCACCTAAGAGCTCATCTTAGCCCCGCCCCAGGTTCAGGGCGTCTCAGAAACATGAAGACGTGAACTCCAGAAGCATGGGTCTTGGAAAGGTAAGGGGGTGAGCTGGGCATGAGTGGGCAGCCTGTCTGAGGAAATACAGTGCCCCAAGGCCAGGTGGGATTCCCTCCTTCACTGCGGCCATCCCTGGGCCTTCCTTTTTGTAGCAAGTTGAACGTAGGAGAGCCATAGGAGTAGCCTAGAGGTTAAGGTGACACGCCCACGGTGGCCAGAGACGAGGCACTAACAGAAAACGTAAATGACAGTGCCTGGGTCTTAACTGGCTGAGCCAAAGCAGCTCCCTTCCGGGGTCCCCCATGTACCTGCCCTGACAACATCCCAGGGGTGGCACTTTCAGAATGCAAGTGAAGAAAGAGGGCTGACCTCAAAGGTGAAGGGGTAGGCGTGCTCGCCCAGCTTCTTGATGAGCCTCTCTTGGAGCCTCGTGAGTGGCTTCTTGTCCTCAGGGGCCGGCGGGAAGGACTGCACGTTGGCCACAAACAGGTCTTTGCGAAAAGTCAGACCCAAGACATCCAGGTCTTCCCGGCCATACCGGAAGGCGCAGGTCAGCGTCACGTAGACTGTGAGGAGCAGGGGCACTGAGGAGGGGCCTGGGAGGGTAGCACACAACCCCCCCAGAGCTCCAGCTGCAGCCCTGGGGTCTGCCTGCTGGAGGCTACAAGCCTGTGCCGGGCCTGAATGGGGTGGGCACGCTGCTCTCTCACACAGGGTGCCTTCAAGAGCAGCCTCTTGGGGTCTCTTAGGAAGGCGCCTCCTAAGGGGCAGCTCTGCCCTCCCCAGCTCTCTCTAGCCCCAGGAGTATGGAGGGGCAGGAAAGATGTTTAGGCAGCCCGGTGGCTGTGATGGTTGGACTAGCAGCCCGGGAAGAGCAGCATGGAGGCAGCCTAGGGAAGCTGTGTCTGAAAGGCAGGGGATCTCAGCGCAGCCTAACCCCAACCTTGTACATGGACCTTTTCTTTTTGTCATCAAAAACTGAGACCCCCCGTCTCTTGTTCTGCTGTCATCCCTCCTGCCGCAAGCCTTGCTGTCTTACAAGGTCAGAGCTTGGGGCATAAGTTCTCCCAAGGTGGGCATGAAGCAGGGCTGCTCTGCACCAGAGGAGAGCAGAGTTTCTTACTATAGCGAACGCACGTTTAGGGAACCAGTGCGATGGATGGGGAGAAGCCGTAGGGTTAGCTGAGGTCCTGCTCAAGCACCAAGGAGGCACGTGCTGATGTCACTGCTGAGCAGAGGATGAGGAGGCACTTGCATGCTCTGAGTACGAACACAACCTACCTCGTCTTTCTTTGAGATATTCAGGATCCACGAGGACCACACCATCTGGAAAGACAATGAACAGATCTCACAACTTGGCCTTCTCAACCCGAGCCCCATATATCCGCTCAAACAGAATTCCAAAGCTAACAGGGCACACAGCCCATTTGGGTACGGCCCTCTGCAGGATGAGTTCCTACTCTCACAGCCATTGACATCTCTCCAGAAAAACACAGCTACAGCCCAGGGCTAAAGAACAGTGTAAACGGTATATATGAGGTGAGACCATCTCATATATACACTGCCTAGGGACATCATGGTGATTTTAGGTTTTGTAAGCATGCCATGTCCTCCACACAATGACAGAACCACATAAGGACATTTCTCAGAATTGCCATCATTAAATGACTAATCTCGCCCAGAGACTAACTATGGTAAGTGGCCTTGAGTCATGTCAGACCAGCTTTGTAATGCACAAGCTCTGCACCAGGCTTAGGAACACAGAGATTTTCAGAGCTTCCTGACCATGGTCGGAGGAGGTCTATAAATTGGAGGCTCTGATCAGCAGCCTTTGGTGCTCACGTGAGGACGACGGGCGGTCTGTGTCAACGTGCACACAGGTCAATTCTGTCACACATGGAAGTATTTGGATAGCCCATGGCATGTGTGAGCATGGCTGTTAAGGTCTGGCTTGTTGAAAGCTCTTCTCCAGAGCAGCAGTGTCTTCCTTGGGAAACACTGACACTTGGGGCCCTAGCCCATCAGTGAATTCATAGTTTAATAGGTTACTAGAAGGAGTAGGAGATGGGACTTAATTGGAGGAAGAATGTAATCCCAGCACTCAGGGAGGCGGAGGCAGGCGGATCGCTGCGAGTTTGAGGCCAGCCTGGTCTACAAGGCGAGTCCAGGACAGCCAAAGCTACACAGAGAAACCCTGTCTTGAAAAAAACAAACAAACCAAGCCGAAACAAGAAAAGAACGTCAATCAATGTGCCTAGAAGGGTATATTTGGTTCTCAGTCCCTTCTCGGTCATTGTGAAGGAAGCAGCTTTAATCCTCCACATGCTCCCTGTCACGCTCTGCCTCACTGCAGTACCACAGCTCTGAGTGATGGAACCATTAAAGCCATCGCCCATATAAGTGAGTATCCCTCACAGTTATAAAAGTGACTCGTGCCCAGTGGAGAGAACGGAAAGTACCTTGATGTCTTTCATAAGGGCTGTCCTTGAGAGCAAAGCGTTTGGCATGACACAGATGTTTCTCAGCTGCAAACCCCAGGAGGCTGTCAGGCGCGCGCGCGCGCGCGCACACACACACACACACACACACACACCAGCCACCCCCATGCTATCCCTATAACCGACAACTCAGTATCTCAAGAAACAGTGAGAATCTGGCCCCAAGTTACAGGGCTATCTAAACAGGCATGTCACCAATCCACCCTCAGGGTCGCCCAGTCCCCATGCACGCCTTTCCATCCATGATGAGTGTCACCTCTGTGTCATGTCCTGCACTGACTGAGCACCTGGAGCTCAGTTGAGAGAAAATATAATGTCCCCAGGAAGGCGCTTCCAGTGGTGCTTCCTCAGTGGGGCTGAGAGGAGCAGGGACTTGGAGCCAGGCCCCACAGGACAAGGAAGTGTTGCTCACTAAATGACCAAGGGAAGTGACAAGATGGCAGCAGAAACAGTTCAGCAATGTGGCCTGAAGGCTGGTAGGAGAGGCCTCCTGGAGGTGATGGCAAATGCCCCATGAGCTGGGCCCCAGGTCCTGGAATAGCACCAGATCCCCACCCCAGATGAGATGGAGAGCTAAATGGAAGACAGGACCAGTTCAGAGAAGGGACAGTGTCAGAGACAGAGGGCTTCTTACTGAGGCACAAGACCAAACCTGGACAGCACCCTAAGAACTCACTGGGCCCTCAGGTCCAGCAGCGAGCCTGGCATAGAGTAGGTACCCTCAGTGCCAATGTGTGTGTTGGAGATCTGGTTCCCGCCTTCACTCAACGGCCCATAGCCCCTGCTGCTCCTACTAGGGTGATGTTCAACACTGGCCCACAGAGAAGTCTCTGGAAGCCACTGCCTGAAGGAGAGCACAGGTAAACTGGAACCCAGTGCCTTGGAAAAGCCAGTTCTGGAGAAGAGGCAAATGGTGGGACATCAGAAGACCTACCCATTATCCCCAGTAAGGCTGGAGAGGAAAAGTGGCCCCAGGTCATAAAGGAAGGAGCCTGGATGGAAGCCAGCATCTGCCCTGCCAACACCCCATGGGCTCAGACCCCCAGGACTTCTGCTTACGGCCACAAAGGTCTTCTCTCTGATGAGCTGAAACCTCCTGCTATGTTCTTGCCTCTTGAGTCTGGAACCGCAGGGTCCCTCTTAGATCCAGGACAACGCAGGAGAACATAGCAATATCTCTAAAACAATTCCCCAGGCCACGCAACCCAGTTTCTTCCCCTGGCCCTGGCCTCAGTTTCTAACACTCCGGCTTATTCATGATGATCTTAAAAATAAAAATTAATAATAATAATAATAATAGGACCTCTCTGGCCTTAGGGCTTCCATTTGTAAATCAGGATGATTCTGGATCTGCCCCATACAATATGAAAAGAGGCCGTGAGGCCAATGTCTTTCTATAAAAGCAGTTGTTCTAAGTGTGGTCAATTGACTCTCACAGGGTCATTTAGCAAATTGTCTTAACTGTGGTGGTGGCAGGGGTAATACTGGTACCCCGTGGACAGGGGCCAGAGATGCTGGCAACATCCTGCAATGTACCAGGCAGATGGAACCAACAGAGAATAATTCAAACCCAGATGGCAACAGTTCCAAGGACAAGAAACACTGAACTCAGACAAGACCTTAGGAGCCAATTCAGCTGTGGCTCAGCGTCTCTGCAGAGCCCATGTAGGTGAGACAGCCCCTATTTCCGAAGACCGAAGAAGGATTTCCCCAAGAGACTGTAGAGCCAAAGGCTAGAATCAGACCGCTGGACTCACTCAGCTCTGTGACCTGGAACAAGGGGCTGGGCCTCTCTGTGTCCCACTCTGTCCAGAAGGCGGGAGTTATCATCACTGCTGCACAGTAAGCCTTACATAATAAGCTATGGCTGCCGCTGTCCATCAGGGCCTCCCTCCAACCTTGGAGCCAAAAGGCCTCTCTTGAAAAGGGGGGAGTTGCCCAGAAGCTTGCTTCTTGAAGTAGGAAGCCATGCCCACCCATTCTGGGTACCAGGTCCCTCTGGAGATGGTGTTCTCCCCTAGCCCAGCACTCACCCACAGGGTCCACGAGGTCAATGTGGTCCACAAAGTCCCGCTTTCCCAGGTACACAGTGAGCTGGGGAGAAGAGGGACAGGAGCATTAGTAGCTGTGGGACAGCAGAACAGGGGACCCTGCCCTGAAGCCAACGTTGATGCCTACACCATTCCTAACTTTTACTGAAACCATAGCAAGAAGTGGCCCCTCGCCCCAAACCTAACGTTAATGCTAACAGACCTCTGATAAGTTTTTAAACACCCCTGCCTCCCTAACCCCTAGGAAACAGTATGTTATTCTTCCCATTTTATAGACAAACACACTGGGGCCTAGGGAGATCTTCAAGCCAAACACCGCTGAAGAGGTGGAGGCAAAGCCACAGGGGCAAAGCAGATCAAAACAAGAAAGCAGGGTATCCTGGGAAAGGCTGGGGCCAGGCAGGCAAGCCAAGGGCTCCATGCAGGTGCTGACTCGGGCCCTTGGGCTCTTGTCTCCCTTCATCAGGCAGGGAGCCACTTACATGAGGACGGTGCTTCTGTGGCACAAGGAATCAGGGAGCTAGCGCCCTACTCCATCACCAGCCAGCAAGGAAGAGCCCTGAGCCACACAGAGCCCCATCCTAGATGCTCCCTGCTCCTTAGCCTTCCCTCAGTCCTGAACATTCCACACACCCAAGGGTGACCACATCAGTCCCTCTGACAGTGGGCAGCCTCAGGCTGGGACTGGCTGAATAGTCACTTTAGCCACACCCAAAATGCAAATCTTAACAGCTGTGCCTTTTTGAAAACCCTCTAACCATTCCTCTGCGCCTGGGGGGTGAGGATGACAAACGGATTTCATTCTAAGTACCAAATCTAATTGACTGGTCTGGGATGCCTGAGGCCCTGGATTGCCAAGGAATCCAAGATAAGAAGGATTCCATCTCAGCGGGAAAGGTGAAAAGATTAGTCTGCTACGGACACCAAACGGAGACATGGAAGCACGCATGACGACAACCTGGGCTGTGTGAGCTGCTACGGCCTGCAACAGGACTCCTGCCACAAGCCTTTTTCTCCCCTCAACTGTTCCTTCTCCTCACTTGGGCACTCAGCAGTCTGAAATGCCCCACACTTCCCTAAGCTCCACCTAGAGCTCCCACTCTTCACCTCGCTTGGCCTAGAACCGTGTCACCTCCAGAGGAAGCCATGGCTGACAAGGTCTTACAGTCCCTGGGCATCCGGCATCTCACTCACAGTTGGCACTTGGGGGTGAAATAATCGATTTCTGCACTGTACACTCTGGACCCCCAAAGACCCAGCCCAGCCCTGGCAGAGTGACGTCAGTGCAATCTATTTGCCAAACAGAGAGTAAAACAGGGTACAGCCTGTGGCTTGTGAAAGGAAAAAAAGAATCCCAGGCACTGAAAGCCCCTGGAGAAAGAGAGATGAGGTGACACAATGACCTCTCAAGACCAGGGGACTGAATGGTGTCCCTGTGGCCAGCTTGTCTCTGTTTCTCACACTGTTTCTCCCCAGCTGGGGCTCCCTGAAGCCGACATAGAAAGTTTCCAGGGAGGCTCCCCCCAACCCCAACACCTCCCCATTAGGATTGAGGGCTCCTGAGGACAGAGCTGTGTCAGCCCCAGCTAGCAGTGCCTGGCTCTCCCTGGGAACGCTCCTTCCTTTCCTAATCCACAGAGGCTCTCAGAGCAGGGAGACAGCGAGCAGTGAGGAGCCAGCCCACACCACAAACTCACCTTTCCATTGGGGCTTGCCTTCTTGAACACTCTGTGGAAAGAAAGAGAGGTGAAGCCAGGGTTAATGGATTTAGCCCAGCCAAACTCCTGCAGGCGGCCCTGATGCAGGGCCATAGACAAAGGCCTTGAGTGTCCCGACAGGCACCAGCAAAGCCTCTCAGCAGGACAGCTTCCTTCCTTTCGCCTCTCCTCTGAGGGTGACTGCCTGTAGCTCTCCTTCAGTCCTTCAGGGCGGCTGAGGGAGTCCCACAGGTCCACCCAGCTCACACACAGGAAAAGCCCTGCAAGGGCTCAGAGATCTTGCCTCACCTCTTCCCCTCCCTATGTCACCTCCTGCCGCTCTTCCTTATTCCTCCTCAGCCTCACTGCTCTCTGGCCACTCTGTTCCTTACTGTTCTTTATTCCACCTGGTGATTCCTGCACAAGGCCTTTGCTCTAGACATTTCCCCAACCCTACTCTCCTTTCCCAAACATCCACTGCCTTCAGCCCCTGCTACCCAGTGCCCCAGCCCTTCTCTTGATTCATTTTTCCTTTCTTCCAAGCCCTCCTGACCTGCCACAAACTTTACTTCATGGCTCCCCTGTGTGCTCTGCCACAGTGGACTCTCCCTCCTTCCCACAGGCGAAGCCCAAACACACACAGGGCACAGCTCACTACTGCGCAACAAACATGCGTTAAGTGACAGCAGGTGGCAGAAGCTCAATAAATACTAGTTGAACAGATAAATAAATGGACCGCCTCCCTTCACTGGGGGACAGAGGCATAGGACATTAGTGGGAGATGCCTTTGACCACACCGTAGAGCACTGGGTATGACATCAGATGGTAATGCAGTCCCTGGATCTTGAAAAGTGCCACTTACCCTCCATGGCAACCCTTTTGCCCTCCCACCAGCTGTATCTGGTGGCCTGAGGCCCCTTACCTACACACCCTCATTCGGCCCACAATTTCTCAGCCATTACTGGGGGGAGAGGGGGAGAAGAAAAGTGAAAGATAGAACCCAGGGGATGAGGAAAGGTATTGAAAAAGGGGAAGGGACATGGGAGTAGGTGGGAAGAGAGGAGAGAGAGACACGGCTATAAAAATAAAAGATGAACAAGAGATGGGAGGAAAAGAGAACCAGGAAACAGTGTGAAGCAGAGAGAGATGGGACACACGGAGAGACAGCTCCAGCGGGTCAGTGGGGCAGCCCTGAATCCTTCCAGAAGCTGATCTGTATGCACTCAGGCGCGTGACTCTGTGGGGTCTCCACAGCCTTGGACCTGCCTCACCCTCCCTCCTGGGGCCCAGGGAATATTGACGGTTTTGAGCATTGCTTGCAGAGGAGAGCTTGGCCCAGCATTCCCTCGGGCACTCCTGTAGGGGCCCTGGCGCCTCTTCTCCGAATTAATATTTATCGGGTTGGGAGTGTGAAGATGCCACAACTGGGTGGGGTGTGATAATTGTTAAAAACAAGGGGGACATGCAGACCACCCAGTCTGGACCAGCAACTCCAGACCAGGAGTTAGGAGCTCCATACTTCTCCAGAGGACACAGAGGTGAAAACCCTGGGGCTTCCAAGCTTCCGATCACCTCCTTGGTAGCCAAGGCTCTGAGGGAAACGAAAGGATCTCACACCCAGACAGCATAAACAACTGAGAGGGGGAAAGCTACTCCAGTGGCTGCTGGAGAGGCTGAGGCACACTCAAGGCCAGCAGGAGCAATATCCACCATGAAGGGGAGAGCAGGAAGAGGGCAGGGAAGCTTTAATGAGCAGCTAATCATTTCTCATGGTAGAATGGATCTTCTGACTCCTGCTTCACAGACAATTAACTGGCGGCTCTGTGTGATGCATTAACTTGCCCAGGAGCACAGCAAACAAAGGGCTAGGTCAGGACCCAGACCTGCTTCTGACTGGGCCTCCGCAGCTAGTGCCTTAACCCAACCCGCTGTTTCCTAAAACCCATGTTTCAAAAGAAGGCAGGAAGAACAGACACGAGGGGGAGGGTAAGAGGAATAAATGAAAGGTGCTGGGGTGAAGGGCAGAGTGCAGGAAGTACAGCCATCAGTGGGGAATGTCCTGCTACTACCTTAGTCAGCACCCGGGGCCACCTCCTTCAGGAAGCCAGGACTCTTGTAGCTTCCTCAAACAACAACAGCAGCTGCCTCGTTCTCGGCAAGTGTTTATTATTCCCTACTCATGCCTTTAAGTACTTTTCCCAGGACAGTGCTGATCCTGGACGATCCCATTTTCAAGATGCAGAAACTGAGGCTCAAAGAGGTCACCCCAGCCTGTCTCCATAGTCCATGAGGCTCAGCCCGTCCAGCAAATTAGCCAAGCACCGCCACTCAAAACTCCACCCACTTCTTGCCCCTTAACAGTATCGGGAAAAAAAGGCTCCGTGGGGTGTTTTCAGTGTCCAAGACCCCACGTGTGCGACACGGAATAGACCTTCCGCTTGTGGTAGGCACTGATTTAACCTGAGCCCACGCTCCCAGCCAGCTCGCAGGCCTGATCAGCTGCAGCTACTTTACCCTCAGCCCTGCCCGTGCCCCACAACCTGAGCCTCGGTCGCAGCTGGGTTCCCCAAAAGAAACCGACCAGCATTGTTCTTCCTGGTTAAGGTTCAGGATAGCTCCAGAGAAAGAGGAGGGAATCCTAATTAAAAGGTAAAAATCTCACGGGAAGGATGAGCAGGCAGGATGAGCTGGGGCCAGAGCTGGGAATGGGGACGCCATCGGAGCCTCAAGCTGTGGCTCCCTGTCTCCACCGTTCCTTCTGGGGCTGCAGGTCCTCCTGGCTGCGAGGCTGCCTGTGCGGCTGCTCCATTGTCTCTGTGGACCAGCTCACTCCGCTTACTCAGGGATTTTTCTGCTCCTCCATCCTTTGGGCTCGCATGTGACTCACACTCCAACCCTGTTTCTACCCTGCCTCTCTCTCAGCTTCCCGCTGCTAACTGACTGAATGGCCCAATTCCAAATTCCCAGGAGAGAAATCTGATTGGTCAGCCTTGACTAGGTCTCCCACCCCCTGGTCCAATCACCTATGTCTGGGACATAACCTGTGGTCCGTGTAGCTTGAGCAGAAGACGCTCTGGAGATTAGTCTCATCCAAGCCCGGCAGACTCACTAGTTGGTTAGGAAGTCTACTTAAGACATTGGGGAGATGGCTCGGTGCATAAATGTCCCGCTTCACAGACATGAGGACCTAAGTTTGGATCCCCCGGGACCCACACAAAAGCTGGACGTTGCTGTGTGCATCTGTAACCCCAGCACTGGGGAGGCAAAGATGGGCAGATCTTGGGAGATTCTCTGGCCACACAGTCTGGCCCCCAGAGAGAGCTCTGGGCTTAGAACTCCATGTCGAGTGAAAGACCCTGTTTCCAAAAAATAAGGTGAAAAAAGGACAGGAGAACAGACCCACGGTTGACCTCCGGCCTCTGCAGTCACACTCACACACGTGTGCCAAAACACACAGACACGGAGATCTTTTCTTGAGGCAGGGTCTCACTATGTAGCCCCATCTGGCCTGAAGGACTTTATTTTCTGCAGCTGCTAATATGAGGTCCAGCAGATTCAACCAGCACGCGCATATCTATAGAAGTTCAAGGTGGGCTTCCCTGGGCTAAAACCGAGGCGGCAGCAGTCCTTGGCTCCTTCTGGGGCAAATATGCTTCCTACCCTCTCTAGCTTCTAGAAACCTCCTTCCTGTCCCACAGCCTCCCGCCTCCACCTTCAAAGCCAGTAAGAGAAGGGGACAGAACTACCGAGACCGTCTTGAAAAGAATTCTCACTATACGGCATCACACACATCTGCCCCTCGCTTTCCTTTTAGAGCCCGTCCAGAGACTGGACCCACCTGGATAACTCAGGATGCTCTCTCCACTTTGAGGGCGGCAGATTAGAAGCTTGAAGCCCATCGGCAACTTACCCGTTGCCACATAGCACACCGTTCACAGGCTCCAAGGGTTAAGGCCTGGACATCTGGGGAAGCACTGCTTTGCCTATCACACTGCCTTTCTGCTGCTGCTAAATTCAGCTCTGATCTGGGTTTTCTGCCACATGGTAGTACAGACAGAGAGCCTTGTCAGATACAAGATTTTAAAAATTTGGAATCCTGAGGCATTTGTTACTGCAGCAGACCAGCTGGAACCTAACACGGGGAATGCCTGTGATAAAATGATCCCAAAATTCACAGGGGAATGCGAGGAAGCAGAATTGCCAAAACAGTCTTGAAAAGAATAGGGCAAACTTGGAAGGCTTGGGCTTCCCAATTTCAAAACTTGACTGCAAAGATACAGTGGTGAAGGGGGCTAGAGAGATGGCTCAGTGGTTAAGAGCACATTCCAGAGAATCTGAGTTCAAAACCCAGCACCCACACCATGCGGCTCACAGCTGCCTGTAACTCCCACTGCAGGGCTATCTGACATTTCTGGCCTCTTCAAGCACCTGCACACACATACGCAGACAAACACTAGTTAAAAACAATAAGCTTTTTAAAAAGGTAGAATGATTAAGGCTGTGCTGACATACAGATCAATAAAAGAGAATTAACAGTACAGAAATAAATGCATATATGTGTGGCAATTTATATCTACTCATATTCACTACGGCATCATGTTCATGACTTTTTGATAAGAGAGCTAAGGCAAGGTGGTGAAGAGAAAGAACAGCTTTTCTGTCTGTCTGTCTGTCTTCCTTCTTTCCATTCCTCTTTTCTTCCTTCCTTCCTTCTTTCCCTCCTTCCTTCCTCTCTGTCTCTGTATGTCAGGCTGGTCGAAAACTCCAGGTCCTTGTACCCCTGCCCCTCTAGTGCCTAGATTATATCTGAGCCACCACACCTTTCCAACAAATGACAAAGGGACTAGATGTCTATGAGCAAAGGAATGAGGTTAGGCCCCTATTTCACACCATACACAAAACTGACTCAAAATGGACCAAAAACCCAAATGTAAAAGCTGCTGCAATGAAGCTATTAAAGAAACCTATTAAGTGTATAAATCTTCATGACCTTGAGTTAGGCAATAATTTTTTGTTGGTGTTGCTGTTTTTTTTTTGTTTTGTTTTGTTTTGTTTTGTTTTCTGAGACAGGGTTTCTAGGTGTAGCCCTAGCTGTCCTGGAACTCACTCTGTAGACCAGGCTGGCCTTGATTTACAAATCCACCTGCCTCTGCCTCCTGAGTGCTGGGATTTAAGGCATGCACCACCACCCAGAGGCAATAATTTCTTAAATCTGAAGCCCAAAGCACAAGCAACAAGGAAAAATAAAATTAAATATTTGTGCTAAAAAGAGTTACTATCAAGAAAGCAAAACATCTGGAGAGATGGCTCAGTGGTTAGAAGCATTTGCTGCGCTTGCAAAGGACCTGAGTTCAATTCCAACACCCACAGTTTGGCGGCTCATAATCATCTATAACTTCAGCTGCAGAACATCTAATAGTCTCTTCTGGCCTTCAGGAGTATAGTGCACACATGCACACACACACACACACACACACACACACACACGCCAACCAATCACTCAATCAATGCTAATCCCTCACACCCACTAAAATGGCTTTTATAAAGATGGACAAAATAACTAAGATGACAAAAACCTGGAGAAAGTAAAAACCCCCTTGTGTTGTTGGCAGGAATGTAAAGTGGACAGTGCACAACCACTTTGAAAGACAGACAACTCCTCGAAAAAGCTAAAGAGAGTTAAGATGTTACCCATCTGGTTCGTTCCCGGGTACAGACCCAAGAAAGCAAACGTTCAGAGGATTGTCCCTCGATGATCACAGTAACATCCTTAAGATAGCCACAGAGATGAAGGCATGCCTGACTGATGATAACGTGAACCTATGTTTCAAATGCAGCAGACACACACAATGGGATATTATTCAGCCACAAAATGGGATGAAATACTGATCTGTACTACAGCATAAATGAGCCCTGAAAGCCTTCTGCTCCGTTGATGAAGAGGCCACATGCTCTGTGATTCCATCTACCTGAAACGTCCAGACTCAGCAAAATCGCAGGGACAGAAAGTGGACTGGTGGGAGCTGAGGGCTGGACAGGAAGGGAGACCGGCGCTCATGGGTTCACAGCTTATTCAGGAGGTAACAACCTTCTGAACTTAGCAGTGGTGGTAACACAACCCTGTGGCTGCGCTAAGAACCACATATTTCTACACCAGGATGTGAACGTTGCAGTAAAAAAAAAAAAAAAAATGTTTTAAATAACAGAAAGAAAAGAGAGAGATTGAAAGGAAATGTGCCATAGTAATAACAATAATAATAGGGGTGTAAGAAAAGCCTACTTCTTTTTCCCTCTTATTTTCCCATGTGGTATGCTGAGCAGAAAGGAGGTCTGCCTCAGGCCTCAGAGAAGGAACCATCTGAAAACAAACGCTAAGTGAAGTCAGGGAAATGTGGGTCCTGGGTTCTGGCTGGCCAGTGGTTCCTTTGTGAGGAGCTCTGAGGTGTGCGTATGTTTATGTCACACGGTGCACATGTGTGAGTGTGTCCGTCGAGGCCAGAGGAAAACGTAAGGTGTCCACCCTCAGGCACCACTCCAGCCTTTTGGGGGAGGGAGACAGGGCCTCTCACTACCCAGCAATCTCCTCGTGGCCCCTCCCCAGGGCAGGGACGACAGATCAACACTCCCACCACCCCGACTTTATTTCACACAGAGTCCTGAGGCCTGCAAAGCAAGCCTGCTACTGACCAAGCCGTCTCCCCGGCTCCCATCTTAGCCTCTGAACGCTGGCATGTCGGTCTCTTGCGAGGACCAGTTGTGGTTCATATTTCAGTGATGTCTCAGAGCTTTGCCACTACAACTGCTGTCTCCAGGAAGTCTTCCTTCCTGGCTCCCCAGCCCCACACCAGCATGTCCCCACTCACAGCTATGTAACAGTCTGCTGACTTCACCTTTGTAACAGAAATAAGAGTGGGGCTCCCAACCACCGACGTGGTGGTTATTAATGGTACTCTGCTATGATTGTAGACAGGAGCCTAGCGTAATTATATTCTGAGAGGCTTCATCCAGCAGCTGATGGAGACAGATGCAGAGACCCACAGCAAACAATAGGCTGAACTCAGGGAGTCTTGTGGAAGAGTGTGAAGAAGGATTGAGGGAGCCGGAGGGGTCAAGGACACCACAAGAAGGCCTACAGAGTCAACTAACCTGGGCCCATGGGGGCTCACAGAGACTGAACCACCAATCAGAGAGCAGGCACCGGCTGGTCCTAGGCCCCCTACACATATGCGGCAGATGTGCAGCTTGTTCGTCACAGAAGTCCCCTAACAATTGGCCTGTCTCTGATGCTGTTGCCTGCCCTTTGGATCCCTTTCCCCTAGCTGGGCTGCCTCGCTGGGCCTCGGCAGGAGAGGATGCACTTGGTCCTGCTGTGACTTGAGGCGCCACGGTGGGTTGGTGCCCACAGGCGCGGGGCTCCCCTTCTCAGGGAAGGGGTGTGAGGGTAGGACTGGGAGGAAAGGAAGGAGAAGGATGCAATCATGCTGGGAAAGTAAATAGACAAATAAATCAATGGGGAAAAGAGTGAGGCTCCTGTGGGCACTATTGGCAAGGGGGCCTTGGGGCACAGTGTACCGCCTAAGGGCAGAGCCATGCTCAGTGAACCAACACAAGTCAAAGGCTGCTGGGCGGATGTCATAAGACGAACGAGGCAAGCATGGGGATGCAAGCATGTCGCCACTCAGCTCTGGGGCAGGGGTTCTAGCTTTACTCTGCCTGGCTGCTGGGGCCAGTGGGCACTGGACTTAGAAAATGCTTCATGGGACAGGTCACAGCCACCAGCTGATACCCCCCAAAAGGCCTCTAACCACTCTGACCAAGA